CACACCTCCCCCCACTTCATCCGTCCCCACACACCCCTGTGTCTGTCCGTTCGTCCATCCCCTCTCACACACACACCCATTCATCCATCCCCACACACCCGTGTCCGTCCGTTCATCCATCCCCCTCACACACACACCCATTCATCCGTCCCCACACACCCGTGTCTGTCCGTTCATCCATCCACCCTCACACACACACCCGATTCATCCATCCATCTACACACACACCTCCCCCCATTCATCCATCCCCACACCCCTGTGTCCGTCCACCCATCCACCCCCATACTCCTCCAACCATCCTTTCCCCCACATACCCCAATTCATCCATCCATCCCCACACAGTCCTGTGTCCGTCCATCCATCCATCCCCACGCCCCTCTAACCATCCATCCCCCACACACCCCAATTCATCCATCCATCCACCTCCCGACATCCCTCCATCCGTCCACCCACACACCCCTCCATCCATCTCCCCCACCCCAGTTAATCCATCCACCCCCACACACCCCTCCATCCATCCACCCACGCCTCCGTCCGTCCATCCATCCATCCATCCCCACACACACGTCTTTCCATCCATCCATCCACACCCACTCCTCCCTTCCTCTATCCATCCCCTCACAACCCGCTGCCCATCCAGCCATCCCCACCCCCACCCACCTGCCCACACACCCTTCTAGCCATCTCTCCTCCCCCACACCGCATCTCTCCTTATCCAGACCCCTCTATCCCCCCCAGACTCGCTAGCCATCCCTCCCTCCCACCCCACATGGACGTACCCAGCTGGCACCAACTGTGCGCCTCTGCCCATCTTCCAGCCATTTATACCCCCTCAAAGTGGTTCTAATTCCCCTTTGTACTTGCTGGGGCCACTCGGGCATCAAGGGGGGGGTGTCTAAATGCCCCCGTGGCCTCTCACCTCGGCCCAGCCTGCCCTGACTTTGTACCGCCCGGCTCCCTTGCCCTGCCCCATTGCTTGGCAGGAGCTGGCCTGGGGCAAACAAGGTTCGGGGGGTTGATTTTAGCGACTGGGCCGCAGGGCAAGGACAGCTGCCCCCGGCTGGGAGGGGAGGGCGATGGTGGGATTAATCCTTTCTGCAGTGGGGCAGGCGGGCTGGGGTGGGGGTGGGGGAGAGAAGGGCACTGCCGGGGTGAGGTTGGCAGGGCTCCGCGGCAGACAAGCTGGCGCTATAAATACCTCAACGGTGGTTATAAAAAGCTTTCTGCGTGCGGGTCGCTGACCGTGAGTTGGATGCCGATTGGCCAAGAGGGTCCGGGGCAGTCTCGCGCCCGGCGGGCACGGTGCCATGGCCCGGAACCCTGGCTGGGCTCATCAGCTGAGCAGGGCCAGACCCGGTTACCCCTTGGCTGGGAGGCTGCAAAGAGCACACGGGGCACTGCAAAACTGGAGCGGGGGCTCTCCTTGGAGCCAGGGCTGGCCTCGGCACTGGGGGTGCTGTGCAGAGGGGTCTCACCTCTGTCCCATTCTGACCCCCCGCTGCACCCAGCATGGTGGAAAATCAAACCCCGCCTCCTTTCTGACGGTCCCAGGAGCTGGGCCGTAGCCTCCTGGCTAAATCCCAGCTCAGGCTGCTCGCGTGGCCTGGACGCTGCAGGTTTCCTGCCCTAGCCTGTTACTGTGGGGCTGTTCCGCCCCAGAGGCAGCTGCATTTTCAGCACTTGCCTTCCCCTCTGGGCGTGGCTGAGCCAGGGGAGGGCGCTGAGACAGCCGGGCTCCTGCACACCTAGCTTGGCAGGAGGGTGTGAGCGTGGGCAGGGTCAGCCCCCCACCTCCCCCAGCACAGAGCCGCCTATTCCGGCGAGCTGGAGCGCAGTAAATTATTCATGTTGAACTGCAGTTCCCGGCTGGAAAGCTGCAGGCTCAGGCCTCGTGCGGCCCAGGAAGGAGCCGGCCGGGGGCTTTGCTGCTGCCAGCCAGGAGACGCAGCCCAGGTGGGTTTGAGTGCCTGGGTCCCTCTCCAGGGTCTAGGGCTCTCCGTCACCGGGGACAGGGGCCGCTGTGGCTAACATCCCCATGGAGGGAGCAGCTTGTCAGCTCTTGCAGGGGGAGGAATCCAGCCCCAAGCAGCCGTACAATAACATACTAGCATGGTCAGCCCCAGGAGACCCTACAATAACATACCAGCAGGCAGCGAGGGGGAGGCGAGTTCCCATGAGCTGGGTGCTCAGGGCTCCCTCTAGGCTCATTCGGAGGAGGGAGAATTTGGAAGCGGTTGGGGGGCATGAGGGGTACAGCAGCAAACTGCCATCAGTGTGGGGGGGTGTCTGTGCAGGGGAGGGGGAAGCAGCAAGGGGCTCGAGGGGGGGGAAAGGCGGCTGGCATGAATGAGAGGGACAGAGGACTCCAAAGTGGGTGGGGCGGGAGCCTGTGTGTGGGTCCTGCATGGTGGGGGGGGGAAGAGTTGAGGGTGTGACGGGGCCCGTGGGCGGGGGGACGACACGGAGCATAGTCCTGCATGCCAGGTGGGGGGTGGGAGGCAGGGGTCCTGCGTGGCCACAGGGGGGTAGGGTAGGAGGGGCAGGAGGATGGGGGGGGGGAGGCTCCAGCGTGGCGGGGGCTGGGAGGGGCGTGGCAGAGGGATGGGGGGAAGGTTCTGTGGGCGGGGGCATGGGGGAGGGGCAGGGCAGAGGGATGGGGGAAAGTCCTGCGTGGCGTGGGCGGGGAGGCTGGGGGAGGGGCAGGAGGCTGGAGGGAAGGTCCTGCGTGGCGGGGGGATGGGGGAGGGGCTCTGGCTGCGGCTCCTCCGAGCTCGGGCTCCAAAAATGTGTTTTGACTTTGGAAAGTGGGAGAGAAATGGCAGGAAACGAACGTCCCAGGGGAGTCCCCGACCGTAATTACTGGGCTATAGGGGGCAGCGGGATGGCCCTGACTGGGGGAGCCCCTGACCGTAATTACTGGGCTATAGGGGGCAGGAGGATGGCCCTGACTGGGGGAGCCCCTGACCGTAATTACTGGGCTATAGGGGGCAGGAGGATGGCCCTGACTGGGGGAGCCCCCGACCGTAATTATTGGGCTATAGGGGGCAGCGGGATGGCCCTGACTCTGGGGGAGTCCCCGACTGTAATTACTGGCCTATAGGGGGCAGCGGGATGCCCCTGACTCTGTGGGAGTCCCGGACCGTAATCACAGGGCTATGGGGGAACAGGGAGCCAACTGGGGCTCTCTGCCCTGCAGCGCTGCCAGGACATTTCTCTCTAGGGCACCGTCAATGGCCTGAGCCTCTCCATACCCTGCCCCCTCGCCCTCCACTCCACCACCCCGCGGGCTCCTCCCCTTGGCCTGGAACCAGCTCCATCCCCATCTGCCCCATCCCCAGTGGAGCCCAGGACACCCGCGGGGCTGAGTCTGCAGCTGCCCTGGGGGCACTAAAAGAGAGACCCTCCAGACACCCCCCCCCGCAGCCTGGGGCTGGGCCGAGCTGGCCTCACGTGGGACTAGCCTGAGCCGGATTGGACCATCCTGCGCTACCCTTTGCCCTCCCAGCCAGAGCAGCGATGCCGCTGAGCAGTGCTTCATTTGTGCCAAGGCATCGCTGGGCCCGGCGGTTTCTAGCCCCCGGCACCGCTGGGCCCGGCGGTTTCTAGCCCCCGGCACCACTGGCCCCGGCGGTTTCTAGCCCCCGGCATCGCTGGCCCCGGCGGTTTCTAGCCCCCGGCACCGCTGGCCCTGGCGGTTTCTAGCCCCCGGCACCGCTGGCCCCGGCGGTTTGTGGCCCCCGGCACCGCTGGGCCCAGTGACTTCTAGACCCTGGTTTCTAGACCACCGGCCCCTCTTTTATTCCAAAGGCAGCCCTGCCGCTGAGCTCCCCTTGACTCTGAGTGCTGCCCTGGGGGGTCTCAGCTCCCCCCCCCCGCTCCGCCCCTGCGCTCTCCCAAGCCCGGGGAGCAGATAGGGAGGAGGCGGGAGATAAGGGGTTGTGGCGGGGCGGGGGAGGGTAGCAGCTTGTAGCAGAGAAGTTATGGTAGCTGCGGTGGAGCGGGGGGCCGGGGCGGGGGCCTCGGCTCGGAGCCACGCAGGATCCGTCGCTGTTTAGCAATCCCGGCCACGCTCTGCTGCCACACGGGCAGGGTGCCCGCGGCTCCGCCCGGCGCCCATGCTGCCCCCAGACGCCTCCAGCCTCGCGCTGGAGCAGGGAGCCGTCGGGGGCAGCGAGGTGTGAGTAGGGCCCCCGGCCCCAGGCCATGAAGGGCCCCCAGCAGGCAGCGGGGCGCACGGACCAGATGCTGGGGGCCATGGCCGATATCCTGACCTCCATGGCCCTCCCCAGCCAGCAGTGGGTAAGGGCCTGGGATGGGGGCGGGGGCGGCTCCTGGGGGTGTCAGAGCACATGACATCTCTGGGTAGCATGTGGGGCTGGTGCAGGGGATTCAGGACCATCTGGGTCCCCTGTTTGCGCTGGGCCAGCCGGACAGGGGAGGTGCCCAGGGGCAGTCGGGGGCTCTGTGCTGGGGTGATGGGGGGTTGGTCTAGGGAAAATTAGGGGGGTCTCTGAAGAGGGAGTTGGAGGGTCTGTATGGGGGCCATTGGGAGGTCTCTGCAAGGGAGCTTGGGGGGGTCTGTGCAGGGGCAGTCGGGCGGCTGTGCAGGGTGGCTGGAGGGCCATGTGGGGGTAATCGGGGGGGTCTCTGCAGGGGCAGTCAGGCGGCTGTGCAGGGTGGCTGGGGGGCCATGTGGGGGTAATCGGGGGGTCTCTGCAGGCGCAGTCAGGGGGTATGTTTGGGGTGGTTGTGCAGGGTGGTTGGGGGGGCCATGTGGGGGTAATCGGGGGGTCTCTGCAGAGGCATTCGAGGGGCCTGTGCGGGACGGCTGTGCAGGGTGGCCAGGAGGCTGTGCAGAAGGAATTACGCACGCCGTGTGGAGCTGGCTGTGGGGTCTGCGCGGGGGTCACTAAGGGGGCTGTGCCCCCAGTGCTGGCACATGGGGCTGCGGGCTTTTGGGGCCTTGATGCCGCCCCTCTCCGGCTCACAGGGTGTTTCCCGGCTGTTGGGCAGAGGGATCCCACCAAACTCCCCCTCCCCTTCCCTGGGTGGGTGCCGGGAGGCTCCATTCCTGGGGGCAGGGGGTGAGATTGGTTAGAGCAGAGCTTCAAGGGAGAGGCTGCACCCCCCACCCCAGCAAACAGGCTTCCTGGTGTGGGGCAGATACAGTCCCAGGGATGGGGAGTATAAATACCCCACCTGCAGAGCCTTCCCGCTGAGGCACTGCAGACAGCCTGGTTTGTTAGTGTGGGGTCTCTCGACTGTGCACGCTTATTTGTTATTGTAGGGTCTCTCGACTGTGCACGCTTATTTGTTATTGTAGGGTCTCTCGGGGGGACTGGGGCTGTGCATGCTGGTTTGTTGTTGTAGGGTCTCTCGGAGCACTGGGGCTGTGCATGCTGGTTTGTTATTGTAGGGTCTCTCGGAGCACTGGGGCTGTGCATGCTGGTTTGTTATTGTAGGGTCTCTCGGAGCACTGGGGCTGTGCATGCTGGTTTGTTATTGTAGGGTCTCTGGGGGGACTGGGGGTACATGCTGGTTTGTTATTGTAGGGTCTCTCGGAGCACTGGGGCTGTGCATGCTGGTTTGTTATCGTAGGGTTGTTCATGCAACATGGCAGGCGCTCCAATGGCTGCTGTATTAGCAGCGTTTTAAAACGTAACTCAAGAGGAGGAATCTCAAGCCAGGGACACCCCTGCCTCTCCGCATGTCGCTGACCCCCAGCCTGTCCCTCCCCGAGCATTCGGGGCAGGGGCTGAGGCTCAGGGAACACGTCTGAATTAGGGAGGAGCAGCGGCCGAAGGCAGGGGGCTGCAGTGCTGGGAGTCTCCAGGAGGGCTCTGCTCCGGGGGAGCTCACGGCCCCATCCCCGCCCCGTCCCCAGATCAGCTGGCAACCCCTCCCCCCATCAGAGGAGCTCACAGCCCCCTGCCCTTCTCAGGGGGGAGGCGTTGGGGTTCTGGACCAGGCTTCCAAACACATTTTTCTTTTTAAAATATCAGGAGACAAAGGGACAACCCTACAGTAACAAACCAGAGTGACCCTACAATAACAAACCAGAGCGACTCTACAATAACAAACCGGAGCATGACACCCAGCACCTAGAGACCCTACAATAACAAACCAGAGGGACCTTACAATAACAAACCGGAGCATGACACCCAGCGCCTAGAGACCCTACAATAACAAACCAGAGCAACCCTACAATAACAAACCGGAGCATAACACCCAGCACCTAGAGACCCTACAATAACAAACCAGAGCATGACACCCAGCGCTTAGAGACCCTACAATAACAAACTAGAGTGACCCTACAATAACAAACCGGAGCATGACACCCAGCGCTTAGAGACCCTACAATAACAAGCCCTTGTGTGGGTGGCAGTCTGGCAGGAAACAAGCTCCTCTTTCCGCCTCCGGGGGATCCGAACGGGGGACCCCTCCCTGGGCTGGCCCCAGCCTGGGGAGTCTCTGAGCAGGAAGCGGTGGCAGAGGGTGAGGAGTGATCAGTGACAGCGCCCCGTGAGGGTGCAGGGGGGGCTGGGTAGGGCCAGGGCCGGTGCCAATCCTTGGCTGCTCCAGCAATGCCAGGAAACAAGTCAGCAAAGCCAGTGCCCAGGGTCTGCCTCCAGCTGGAACAGGCGGGCGTGAGGGGCACCGGCAGGGTTGGGGGGGGGACCCAGCATTGTTCTCCGGCAGGGCTCCCTGCGCTTCTGCCTGCCCCTCCCCACCCCCTCCAACCTGTCTATCCTTCCTTCCTTCCAGCTGCCGGATCTGTGCTCAGAGGGGCCGGGGGACGAGATGCGGCCGGAGCACGGCCGCTCCGAGGCCCCTGCAGGGAACAGGGTGCCGCATGACGGGGACCCCCCGAGCGGGCCAGCAGCACCGGGCCCCCCGGAGCCCCACGGCGTGGACCAGTCCCCAGACACCTACCCCTCAGAAGAAGGTGAGGCCAGCTCCGGTCCCCCTGCGCCTGTCTGCCCCCCAGGGCTCTGGGGCCTTGGCCGGGGGCTTGTACCTGGTGCTCAGAACCCCCCCAGCTGCGTCCCCGAGGCCGTGGCCGCCAGGAGCATGAATTAGCGCCCCCCGGACCCTGGCCTGACCCACACATGAGGGGCACTCAGGCCCCTTGGTCCGTGCAGCCCCAGCCGGCCAGTAAGGGGGTCGGCTGGTGCCAGTGGTTTTCACGCTATGGCTGCCCCTCCTCCACAGGTTGAGCTGAGCCCCCCCCCCCAATTCTTTCACCCGGGGTCACTGAATTTGTCAATCCTGCCCCAGGGCCAGATGGGAGCCAGTGTCCCCTAAAGGGGAAAGGCCCCTTGCTCCATTCCCTGTGCCAGCCAGTCTCATTCAGCTGGTACATCCCAGCCCAGTGTGGGGCTGGCCCCACGGCTGCCTCATAGCCCCAGATGCCCTGGGAACAGCCCCGCAGCCCCGACCAGGCCAGTGACCGTCCCTTCCCGGTGCTGAGCTGTAAGGTGCGCGGTGCCCTCGGGCCGGTTGGCACAGACACCCGGGGGCATGGGTACGTGGCTCGCGTGGGGCTGGGGGGCCGCTGGGGTGTCTGAGAGACGACCCCTGTGGTTTGTCTTGAAGGTTCTGTGGGGTGGGGCCCGCGCCGGAGGGTGAGGCGCATCCAGGGTCGTGCCCCACTTCCCTGCCCCCCTCCTCCCCCCGTGTCCCTCACCCCTAGCGGTGGCCCCTGAAATGGCAGAGCCGGTGCCAGGCTCTGGGCGGTGACTCAAGCGCTGGCTCCGGCCCCAGGCTGGGGGGCGACGGGCAGCAGATGGCACTGCGGTGCGGGCAGATGGATGGCTCCCCCGCAGTGAACCTGGGGGAGCCAGTGATTAATATTGGGGGGGGCGATCCAGACAACACAAGCCTCTTGCTGTTTTTCCCCTGAGGGGGGGTCCGATTGCACCTTTCAGCCCCCCTGCCTTGGGGCTCAGTCCCCCTTGCTCTGGGGCAAAGGAGTCACTCCCTCCCCCATCACCCCTGGGGTGGGGGGGTGATTTGGCCATAACGAGCTCCCCCCCACATCTCGGCTGTGGCCTCCTCACTGGAGGAGGGGGGCAGGCAGCTGCCAGGCCTTGGCGGGGGCACAAGCTGGGGCCCGCCCGGGACCCTCGGCTGCCCAGCACCAGGGCAGGCGCTCCCCGCTGCAGGCCTGCACCTCTGCAGTCTGGCTGCAGCCTGGGCTGGGAAGAGCCCGAAGCCCAAGGGAGCGAGGGATGGAGGCAGGGAGAGGGGGAGGGATGGAGGCGGGGAGGGATGGAGGGATGGAGAGGGGGGAGGGAAAGCGCAGGCTCCTCCTCGCTGGCAGCTCAGTTCAGCCCCAGCCCCAGCCCTGTTATTCCAGCGCTGAGCGTGCAGCGGGCAGGAGCCCTGGGCCCCCCGGCTCCGTGCCCGATTCCCGCCGCCCGCCTGCCCCCCCCCGCTGCCCGGTCTATGGCTGGCACCTCTCGGGCAGCGGGCGCCGGTGCCCAGCGCGGCCGGGCAGCACCATGAAAGGGGGGCACCAGCAGGGCTGCTCCTGCCAACACTTGTTCCGCAAAGTCCTCGCCAAGTGCAGCTGCTGTGACGCCCGGGCGCGAGGTCAGTGACTCCCCTCCCCCAACGCCCCCCTTCCCCCCCCGCACCGGGGCGCTGTCCCCTGTGGGCACCTCTCCGGGGTACGGCACAGCGGGTAGCAGCTGCCCACGGTGCAGCCGGCTCAGCCTGCAGATGCCCCATGGCCTTGCCCCGTTGGCGCAGCGGGGCAGCGGGCGCACGGGGGGGGCAGGCGAAGTTTGGACCAAGAGGGACGGGCAGATTTAGAGCTGGGGGGTCCCGGGGGCGTGCGGGGGAAGGGGGACCGGTGCGTCGCTCAGAGTTAGGGGCTGGGTCCTGGGGTGGATTGGAGTCTCCATGGTGGGAGCGTGTGGGTGGCCCAGGGTGTATCTGGGGGGGGAGACCCCACAGTCTGGGGGAGGGGAGCACATGCTGTGCCCGGACTCCAACATCTGTCCTGGCCATTCACCGTCTGCCTGGGGGGGGGGGGTGCCCGAGCTCACCCGCGGCTCCACACTCGGCGCCGCGGCCCTGCCCTGTCCCCCAGCCTGAGGCCTTGCTGACCTGGTGGGAAGCGAACCCCCACTCTGGCCCCAGTGGCCATTGCTCATTTCCCACTGCCTGCACTGGGGCTGCTGGGGGGGTGGGGGGAGGCATTGGTCCCCCCAGGGTGGGGGCAGGGAGGGGACCCTCAGTCTGTGCACCCCAGGTTCTTACCCCTTTGCCCCCTGCCCTCTGGGGCCCAGCGCCCCCTCGCCCTGCACCACAACAGGAATTTGGCTCCTGCACCAGGACCAGGGATCTGCCCAGGGCTCGGGGTGGAGCCCTGTGTTCCCCCTGAGCTCCACCTCGGCCTGGAGCCCAGACTGCCCTGCAGTTCCAAGAAGGGCCAGTAGGGGGTGCCCTGTCCCAGCCGCTCAGTTGCACTGCGCTACCCATGTTGGGCTGAGGCGGGGGTGAGGGTCCTGCAGCATCCCCACGCCCCCCCCCCCTTCTCCGGAAGGGTTCTTTTCTGTTCCATGATCCAACCTCTGGCACTTTTCTTCCGGGCCCCAGCGACGTGTCTGATGGGGGAGACCGTGTGACCCCCCCAGTCCCCCCACTGCAGGTTTGGGAGCGTGGGGCAGAGTAATAAAACTCCTGGGTCCCATTCCTGGCTCTGGGTCAAAAGGTGGGGGTGGGGTGGGACTGGGAGGCCAGGACTCCTGGGTTCTATCCCCAGGTCTGGGGGGGAGTGGGGGCTAGCGGGTTAGAGCAGTGGGGGCTGGGAGCCCAGGACTCCTGGGTTCTAGCCCCAGCTCTGGGGCTCACCCGGCTGGCCAGACCAACCCTTGCCTGGGGCCCACACTCTGTCTTGTCCCCACCCCCCAGATGCACCCAGTGGTGGTGTTCATGGCCCCCAGCCCAGGGGATCCTCTCGACAGCGCCCCTGGCTGGCCAGACCAGCTGCCCCCAGTGCCAGGACCTCTGCCCCTTCCCCGCAGGCCTGGGTCACTGGCAGTGGCAGGGGGGATGTCCCAGTGCTAGGAATCACGGGGAGGGTTTCGGTGCCAGGGGGTGTCCTGGGTCGGTGTTGGGTGCAGGACAGGCTGTAGGGGTGCTGGGGACCCAGTGTGGGGGGAGGGGGCACCAGCCAGTGCCCGTCAGGGGACATCCACGTCCCCTCGCCCCCAATACCCACCGACCTCAACCTCCACCTGGCGCCCTCTCCCTCTGCAGGCGGGCGACTGGCTGCGCCAAGCGGGGCTTTCACCTGCTTAATGGCAGAGAAATAGATGAGAGCAGAGAGGGGGCAGCTCTCAGCCCAGGACTCCTGGGTTCTATTCTTGACTCTGGGAGGGCAGTGGGGTCTAGTGGTCTAGAGCGGGGGTGGGGTTGGGGGCCAGGACTCCTGGGTTCTATCCCCAGCTCTGGAAGCGGGGTGGGGCTCTGCTCAGCGTATGGCTACCCTAACCCTTGCCTGGGGCCCACACTCTGTCTTGTCCCCACCCCCCAGATGCACCCAGCGCAGCAGACCCCTCCCCCATTCAGGCTTGAGGGTCCCCTCAGAAACCGGGCATGGAAATTCTCTTTTGTTACTGAGAATTCTCTCCCCCGCCCCCAGTCACAGCTGGTGTGTTATTGTAGGGTCTTCTTGGAGTTGCGTGGCTGTACCCAGACTGGTGTGTTATTGTAGGGTCTCCTCAGAGCGAGGCTTGCTATTGTCAGGGGATCGTGAGTGCTGGGCTGTGCCTGCTACTTTATTATTGTAGGGTCTCTCTGCAGCGCTACAGCTGTAGACACTGGTTTGTTATTGTAGGGTCTCCCAGGAGCTCTGGACTGGGCAGACTGGGATCCGTTGTTGGTAGCTTGCTGGAGGGCACAGGGCTGCAGGCTCTGCTCTGTTATTGTAGGGTCTCTCGCCAGATCGGGTTCTTATTGGCGGGTTGCTCCTGCTGGCATTGTTTGGCAGGAGTCCGACCCCTCCGTGGGGTGATGGGGGCTTGGTCAGCCGAGCGGCCCGGGGAGACGTGGTTGATGGCCAGGGACGGGGGCAGCCCTGGGGCAGGACCTAGGGTGGAGCTAGCCAGCGGCAGCCAAAGGTGACACAGCCCCCCCACCCCCTCGCCCAGCTGCCCTCTTTGGCCTGGGGACCCCCCTGGTCTCTCCGGTGCCACCCCCCACTCTGAAATGGAGCTGTTATGCCCACAGACAATGCGAGCCCTGGCCAGACACCCCCCCTCACGCCTTGCTGGACAGCCCCCAGCTGCCCCCCCCGCCCCGGTTTCCTTCCCCTCGCAGGGTTCCCCCCCCAGCACAGGGCTGGGCTCCCAATGCTCGGGGAGGGCTCTGTGTGGGAGGGATGAGCTGGGGGGGGGCAGCACAGACAGCCCCGCCTCTCCCCCCCCCCCCGCCCTGGCAAACCCGCCGAGTCAGCAGCAGTGTCCTGTTCCTCCCAAGCTCTGTGGCTGCCTGGTGCAGCAGGGCCTGGAGCCACGGGTGGGGGCTGGCTGTCCGGGGTCCTCCCCCAGCTGATCTCCCTGTGTCCCCCCACAGCTGACAGCCCCCAGGCTCCTCCCCCAGCTCACTGGCTCCTCCCCCCAGACTGACCCCCACCCCACCCCCAGCTCCTCCCTCAGCTGCCGCCCCCCCAGCTCCTTGGCTCCTCCCCCAGCTGATCTCCCCAGGTCCCCCCCCCAGCTGGCTCCCCCTATCCCGAGTTCTCTGGTCTCTTGCCCCCCCTCCCTGGCCAATTCTCTTCCACCCAAGCAGATCGTACTGCCCCCTCCTCCCAAGCCCCCTGCCCGCCCGGGGCCTGCACCCGCCCGGGGCCTGCACCCCCCCGGCCCAGCCTGTTTATACAATCATAAAATCAACATTTTTTTGTCAGCCTCATTAAAATAAACAGAACGTAAT